GGGGGGGGGGCTAGTCAAGCTCGAGAGAGCAGGGAGGAACATAATGTTATATAGTAATATCTCATAACTCACCACATCATCACTGCACCATTAAGAGACACTGTCAATCTATGGACATGGAGGCCTTATCAAAGGCCATGAACGGCATAGCATACCTACCCGGGTAGGGGTGGGTATAGGTCAGAGCTCGAACAGAGAATTTTGCACTGACCAGAGCCAGGACAGAGATATCGCTGTCAACATAATGTTCTAAGACTTCGGACATCTGACCAGTCCATCGAGCTCTGACCTATAACCAGCCAAACCCGGGTAGGTAGACACACTATCCATGATGCTCCGTGTCAAATCTGAATATGCGGGTTTTTGAGTCCGTGTTGGTGCATCGTGAAAGTGGCAAGTACAGCAGTAAAGCCGCAATGAACATGGCCCAAGTATAAGGTAGAAAATATGCTGCGTATACGAGATTCCGAAATCCTTATAGCAACAGACAATGTTCGATATTCTTTGATAAAGAGTAAAATATCGTCGTCGGGATTACAAAGTAACTAGTGCCAAAAATAACAGAGGGGAAAAATGTATTTAATAAGAAACAAAAAAGAACTACACACACACCAAAAGATATTGGAAGGTCTAACCAGGAATCGAACCTGGACCCTGGGAATCAGAATCCCATGTCATAACCATTAGACTATTAGACCTTGTGATTGGTTATAAGGCGGGCCGTATGTGTCGCTTATATAATAAGAGCGCATGGGGTTAGCATTGCCCCTTCCCCCCAAACCCCCCTGGCTCTCCTCCCGCAGGGCGGACCCAAATAAATAATAATAAAAAATAAAGAACAGGACAGCTAAGGGCCGTTATCCGTAATTGCTCAGTTACACATCTTATTTTTACCAGATTGAAATCTATGCGACAGGTGAATCTAATATCCATCATGATCATCAATACAGAAAACGGACAAGTCCCCTACCTGCGTTCTGTGAGAGCAGCAAAGGATACAGCGTAGTTAATAGTTAACTCATGCCAATGGCCCGGTCTTCTACACTACAGATATGCAGAATTCTTTCAGCTGCTGCATGGCCGACCTGACAGAGCGCCGCTCGGATGGCTAGTTAACAGCAGTATTTCCGAGTCCTTCGAATAGAGTACGTATACAGGTGTACAAGTGTAATAGGCGTTTCCCATATCACCAACTTGGAACAGACCAGTAAGACCACAAGCTATGGTTTCGCCGACGAGAGGCGGGTAAAACTCAAAGTGGGGCAGGCAGTTTTAGCTGGCGGGAAAATTCGAAAGCGTTCCCTTCTAGTGCTCAATTAGACGAGTTCCACGACAAATCTATGTTCCTTGCCATCCACGAACTTGGTTTACAAAGTCTCGAGTGTCCAGATTGGCATCGATTTCTCCCACTTTTATTAGCCAGACCTCTGTGATAGGTGGGTGGGAAACAAAAGAAGAAACAAACGACCAACAAGTCGTACGCACTAATAAGCAGCATCATACGAAGTTTTGGCTGCTGATTAATTACCTACTCGTCCGAGGGCCTCTACAAACCATTAGACAACTGCCGAAATAGGGAACCCATTTACGGTCACGGCACCCCTGACTGGCCCTGACTGGATCCTGACTCGTGCCCCCGGGCTCCCCCTACAGTGAGTGAGCAAAAGTTTCGGGATAACCCAAAGTAGAATGCTTCGAAGCTTTTGGGGAACACTTTTCTATTAGTAGCAAAACCATATCATATCACAAAAGTAACGAATCACTGGATCTTTGAAATATACCGAAATTGTTGGTCACCCACTGTATGTACGTTGTACCTCACCCCCTAGTCCGCCCAGTTCCGCCCAGTCCAAGAGAAATCAAGCCTGCAACGTAACTCGCTCGAAAACCCCCGACAAGCCAAGGCAAGCCACCGCCGAGCCCGCCCTCCGCAGAGCCAAGGTGCAAGTCCCGAAGTCTGGGCGCTGGGCATCATCATGCGGCGACGAAAGTTTTCAACGACAGTCCATGGAAACAAGGGAATAGTCTCATTCCATGCTTCTTGGTTTCGCGCGTTGAATGGGTAACGCAACCAAGATATGATGGCGAACCAGAGGGATGCGATAACATCATCGGAAATACGGCACAGAGGTGTGGAGGATGAAGGCCAGGAAAATGAAAACAGGAAAGTTTGAAGTGCTGTCTTGCCCCCCCCCCCCCTATCAATCTTGCCAAACAAGCAAGTCCAACAGACAGAGAGTCGTCCGCATACATGATGCTCCATCTTCCCTCCTGGTCAACCCCCCCATCGCCAGCCCATTAATCAAAAGCCGAATACCCGAGTCGAACTGCCACCTACCTACAACGTGCCTTAGGCTGACCAGTCGAACAACTACCAGGTCGCGGCCTCAATTTGCAGCTTCCTCATACGTCCATGGCCTGCGGCGGCGGGGATGCCTGGGGCCACGTTTTTCCTCTTCAGAGGCCTTCCTTCCGCGGGCTCTTACGTACAAAAGTCAATTGAACAACAGGGGGACTGGTATATTTCGGGGCCGATCCTTGCCTTCATGTACAGACGTAGGTAATTACCTAATGTGCGTTGTATGTAAATTACCGGTTTGGTTTTCCTCCTATGCGACATAGACCATAATGTACTGTCTGTACGTTCCTCAACCCACCCCACTCCGAGGAAGTCCGTTTCCCTGTCTCCGGACGCCACTTCGACCTAGGGCAACTATCCGTCGTCTTTGCTTGGTCAAGTCCAACGTCCAACCGCCCAACGAGGTTCTGCCGTTTGTATCCGCAAGCCACATTAAGCCCATCCCGTCGCGTTGCTTATTAGCGTCGTATCGAACTCCGTAGCTGCAGGGATTCTCAGGTGGGGGCGGATTTGTCTGACAAAATACAATACCGAGTACACGGGGCGTGGTGCGTGATGATGGCCGAGGTTGCTCAGCAGTAAAGATGCCCTTTCATTTTTCTTTGTTCCATCGCATCTGCGGCCTGGTGCTTGGGAAACGAAGCGGAAAAGAAGAAGCGACAGCCAGCTCATGCAATGACGCCCGCGCGAGTCGCAAGGTTTTTTTTTTTTTTTTTTTTTTTTTTTTTTTTTTAAAAAAAAAAAAAAAAAAAAAAAAAAAAAAGGCCATTCACGTTCCACGGACTAATTACTCCGATCAATATCACATGCTAAGGGACACCTAGCTGGCATCAATATTATGTACTTTACCCTTTGCGGTTCAGCTTCGGCCCTTTTCTTTTGGGTGGATTGGCTTTTCAGTTTAAGCATTTTTCTTTCTGTTCTACGGATAAAGCTTAGCCTGCGCTTCGGCCGAGTACAGCGGGAGCCAAGCAAACCAAGTGGGGGTGGTGGGGGTGGTGGGGGTGGTGGGGGTGGTGGGGAAAGACATCTGATCGCTGATGACATGCCAAAAAGGAGAAATACGCGGTGATGAAGTTTCTGCCGAGATATAAATGGGCACCGGGCATTGCGCGGAGGTTTCACCGAGGTGGTCCTCATCGAATTTTCATCGGGAAGAACCAGGGGACCCGGGAAAGAGGGACGAAAGCTGATGAGCTGTTGAGAGGGGGAGGGGCCTGGAGGGAGAACCACATGGGTATCTTTGATCCCGACCATTGGTTAAATGCTCCCAGTTCTCGTACGTGTAGAGCTCTTCCACTGTGCCTGCCCTATCAGCACCAACCCTAGTTCTTGCTACTGGCGAACCCCCAATGGAAGACCACGCGCATGGGCATGCGGGCATGATGATGTTGGTGCTGCGGAATTACAAGGCCGTGACTTGTCCCACACTCCGTCCAAGAGATTCAGGGAAACCTCGGCAGCTTCTGGAAGGCTGCAAGCGCATTGTCTGTTCGCACAGCGCATGGAACATCCCGGTCAGAGACTCAGAGACTCAGAGACTCAGAGACTCAGAGACTCAGAGACGAAGAGACGAAGAGACGAAGGTCGATTCGTAATACATGCTCCTCAGCAGCAACGTTCGCGTGTCGCCTACCTGCCACTAATACCGGGACCGGCTGCCTGCCAAGGAAATGTCATGACTCTATGGTTACACGCTGCATCTTTGCCGCTCGCACCACCTCAGGGCAGAGTAACATCACCCTTCACCCAGAGTGATACGATATAAGCATTTTGATCGCCAGGTCCAGTTAGAGACGACCTGCCTAATCAGGTACCCAGGACCAGCCTCTGGGGGAGTTATGAAAAGGTTTACCTGTAACTTCTACGGGCAGAAACTCGAGCTAATCTGCTAGTGCCAGTGAAATTCGGTCCGTCCGTTTCTGTACCTACACGTACCACCAGTTTATCGTTTGATGTGCACTACTTCGTTAAGACGATGATTGCTAGGGCTCACGGTACATGCGGAGTACAACCGGATTTGACCCCCAGCCGTTCACTCTCCTTGTCCGACCCGAGGTTTCAGACGACCCAGGCCGTTTTACAGCTTATTAGTACGTTGTATTCCTATGTACCCACTACCCGTCCCGGCAACATGGCTTGCCCAGTTCGACGGAGTACCTACGTACACACTAGGTATCACGGAGGCGCCCGCGAATAAGGTAGACGAAGATGGAGGGTGGAATCGGTGGATGTTGGAGAAACCGATATGCCATGCATGCCCATTCTCCACGCTCGTCTCGCGTCTTGCGTCTCGCCTCTTGTCCTCTTTTGTTTGCCCCTAGTACCTAGTCCGAGATCCCCAGGGCCACTAACCCGCCCCTACGACTCGGGGGTGTCAGGGTAATGCCCGTATTCGTGTCAGGTTCTTTAATATAAAGTTGGTTGCGTCTCCCACAAGCCCGCCCCGATGTTGCGTCGCGTGTTCCGGTTTCTTGTGGCTTTTTCCCAACCCCCCAAGTGGACGCGGGCATAACTGTTCTGCCCCCATTACACGCTCCTAGAACCCGTTACCACCGTTCCGCCACCGACTATACTGTAACGAGCGACGACCATATAAGCAAGCGCATCGTACGCACCGTATCGCGGTCATCACCATAACCACCGCCACCGCCACCGCCACCACCATGAGCGTCCTCGCCGGTCAAGAAACGGCCGAGATCGCCAAGGCCAGCGTGCCCGAGGCCGCCGTCCAGGGCACCCCGAAGGAAGTCGAGCTCGGCCAGGGCACCGTCGACGTCACTAAGAAGGAGACCGTCGACGGCTCGCGGACGAGCGCGAGCGCGAGCGCCGCCGACGAGGAGATCTACGAGGACACCCCGACCGACGAGGAGCTGCACACCCTGCCCCGCGTGTCCAGCCCGCTGCAGTGGTCTGTTTACACCATCGCCTTTGCCGAACTGTGCGAGCGCTTCTCCTACTATGGCTCCGCCGTCCTCTACACCAACTTTGTCCAGCGGCCCATGCCGCCCGGGTCGACCACCGGCGCGCCCTTGGACCCTAGCGGCGAGATGATCCCCGGTGCGCTGGGGATGGGGCAGCGCGCCTCGCAGGGCATTAACCTTTTCAACCAGTTTTGGGCTTACCTGATGCCTCTTGTTGGGTATGTCTTTTTTTCTTCTTTTTTTTTCTTTTTCTTTTTTTTTTTTTTTCTTCTTCTTTTTTTCTTCTTATTGTTTCTTTCTCTTTTTTTCTTCTTTTTTTGTTCTCTTTTTTTGTTCTCTTTTTTTTTCTCTCCCCTCCCCGGCTAACCTTACAACAGAGCCTGGATGGCTGATGCCAAGTTCGGCCGCTACTGGACCATCCACATCGCCATCGTCGTCTCGACTCTCGCCCACGTCGTCCTCACCATCGCCGCCACCCCCCAGGTCCTCCGGAACCCCAACGGATCCTTCGGCGCCTTCATCGTCGGTCTCGTCATGCTCTGCACCGGCACCGGCTTCTTCAAGGCCAACATCTCCCCGCTCCTGGCCGAGCAGAACCGCGACACCCGGCTGCGCGTGGTCGTGCGCGAGGACGGCCGGCGGGAGATCGTCGACCCGGCCATCACCAACTCGCGGCTGTTCCTGTGGTTCTACTTCGCCATCAACATCGGCTCCGTCGCCGGCCAGATCTCCATGGTCTTCACCGAGCGGTACCACTCCTTCTACCTCGCCTTCCTGCTGCCCACCATCCTCTTCCTGCTGGCGCCCGTCGTGCTGGCCGTCAACAAGAAGCACTACCACCTGACCCCGCCCACGGGCTCCGTCCTGGAGAAGTTCTTCCAGATGTTCTTCTACACCCGGAAGCGCTCCCCCGGCCTTCTCCGCATGGACTGGGAGAGCTCCAAGCCATCCAACGTGCCCGTCGCGGACCGCCCCAAGTGGATGACCTACGACGACGCCTGGGTCGACGAGATCAAGCGCGGCCTGCTCGCCTGCAAGGTCTTCCTCTTCCTGCCCGTCTTCTTCCTGGCCTACAGCCAGATGACCAGCAACCTGACCTCGCAGGCCGCCACCATGCAGCTGAACGGCGCCCCCAACGACCTGATCCAGAACCTGAACCCCATCAGCATCATCATCATCGTCCCCATCATGGACCGCGTCGTCTACCCGGGCCTCCGCAAAATGGGCATCGCCTTCACCCCGATCAAGCGCATGACCGTCGGCTTCTTCTTTGCCAGTGCGAGTATGGTCGCCGCCTGCGTCATGCAGTACTACATCTACCAGATGTCGCCTTGCGGGTGGTACGCCAACACCTGCGCCGAGGAGGGTCGCAAGGCGCCCATCAACGTCTGGGCCCAGAGCATACCTTATGTGTTGGTTGGTATCGCCGAGGTATGGATAATGAAACCCCCCCCCCTTCTTCAGTCGTTGGGCAATCGTCGGGTTTTTTTTTCTCTCCCCCGTCTTGCTGACCTTGTTTGTTTCTTTGGCAACTAGATCTTCACCAACGTCAGCTCCTACGAATACGCCTTCGCCAAGGCCCCCGAAAACATGAAGTCCCTCGTCATGTCCGTCAACCTGTTCATGACGGCCTTCTCGTCGGCCATCGGCCAGGCCTGGACCCCGCTGTCCGAGGACCCCCTGCTCGTGTGGAACTACACGTCCATCGCCGTCATTGCCTTCATCGCCGGCGTCGCGTTCTGGCTCTGCTTCCGCCACCTCGATCACAAGGAGGATAGGCTCAACATGCTCAAGAAGACCGAGTTTATTGGTTCGAACCAGCCTACCGCGGCCGCTAAGCAGGCTTTGGAGGAGAAGGCGTGAAGAAGGGAATGCGAGTAATGGTATGTATTGAGTGAAACGGTGAAAAGTGTGTCTGCGTATATTCCGGTGATATATATCGTTTTGAGACGCACAAAGGTGATGAAGGTGGAACAGGAGAAGCGATGGGGATGAGACAGAGACGTGGAACGGGAATGAAATGTGGGGCTGAATTGGCTGGGTTATAATGATATACACTTTATCCAGGTGATATCCGTAAGTACATATATATGTCTATATCGGGCGATTATGTCCTGACCCGTTTTATGCGGTTTTCGATATGTCACGTCATTTTTGTCACAACCGAGCGATTACCCCGGACTGGGGCGTATCGCTTATCGTTGGGACCTTCGGGATATCGACTCGGGATATAAGACCTCTACCTCTACTCCCCTCGACCCCCCCTGGTCTGCTCAGTCTTCTCTTGTCCTTTCTATTGGAAGTTCTTCCTTTTTCTACTCTTGTCTTGTATAGAGATTCTTAATACATAAGCATACAAGCTGTCTTTCTACAGCTCCTCAACCATTGCAATTTGCCGGCACCTCTCGCCTCCCCCTATACTCGCGCTTGTCTCCTATAAACCTACTAGGTAGAGATCTACGGATACTCCGTCTATACTCGATCATGGCGTCCAACGACGAACAGCAATGTAGCATCGCCGTCTTGGACGACTATCAAGGCATCTCCATACCTCACTTTGACAAGCTCGACAGGACCGTCTTCTCAGTCACCACCTTCCGTGACACCCTCTCACCATGGGGCCACCCCGACACGCCGCAACATGTCAAGGAAGCCCTCGTCCACCGTCTCGAGCCCTTCCAAGTCATATGTCTGTTCCTGCTTCTTTCACCACTACCCTAATCCCGCCATGAGCCACCACGTTAGCGACTAACACGAGAAAAAGGCACCATGCGCGAACGCACCCCCTTCCCCAAAGCCCTCATCGCCCGCCTCCCCAACCTCCGCCTCCTCCTCACCACCGGCCTCCGCAACGCCTCCCTCGACCTCCCCGCCCTCTCCGCCGCCTCCATCCCCGTAGCCGGCACAACCGACAGCGCCACCGCCGCCCGCACCCGCGCCGGCTCCTCCCCCCCGGGCGCCGCCAACAGCACCAGCACCACCGAGCACGCCGCAGCCCTCATCCTCGCCGCGGCCCGCAACCTCGCCCGCGACGACCTGGCCGTCAAATCCGGCCTCTGGCAAACCGGCCTAGCCGTCGGCCTGGCGGGCAAGACCCTCGGCGTGGTAGGCCTGGGCCGCCTCGGCGCCGCCACGGCGCGAACGATGCACCTCGCCTTCGGGATGCGGATCGCGGCCTGGAGCCCGAACCTGACGCAGGAAACAGCAGACCGGCGCGCCGTGGAGATGGGTCTCCCCGTCGAGATCCCGGGCGTCGTGCCGCCGGAAAGGACCTTCCGCGCCGTGGACCGCGCCGCGCTGTTTGCGGCGTCCGATGTCGTTTCCGTGCATTTGGTCCTGTCGGAGCGGTCGAGGGGTCTGGTTGCCGCGGACGACCTGGGGAGGATGAAGAAGACGGCTATCCTGGTCAACACGTCGCGGGGCCCGCTGGTGGAGGAGGCGGATTTGTTGGACGTGCTGAAGAAGGGGCGCATCCGTGCCGCTGCGCTGGATGTGTTCGCGCTCGAACCTCTTCCCTTTGATAGCGAGTGGCGCACTACGAAATGGGGCCAGGAGGGGAGGAGCCATGTCGTCTTGACGCCGCATATGGGCTACGTCGAACAGGATACCTTGGATGCGTGGTATGCTCAGCAGGTTGAGAACATTCGGAGGTGGCATGCCGGCCAACCTCTCATCAACCCTCTAACCTGATATGACAATGAAAGATGAGAACCTTGGCTCTGGACAAGAACCCCGTCTATTGAATGCGTGCCCCTGTGTGGATTTGGTGCCCCAGAGCTACGAAACACGACTCAGCGTCCCGCCTCTTTTGCATCCCACCGTCTCTTACCCTTGTCTAGACCCCTAACGCCCTCACCTCAAGTCATACCCAGATACCGTGTCTCGATCTTGGTCCCCTCGGTGGCGCCCTTGACGGGAACCTCCACCACCTCCCCAGGGACGATATCCACCAGATTATCGCCAAACACGACACCGTCGTCGTCGCACTCCAACGCCAACCCCTTGACGGGAACCTCGGCGCTAACACGCACGACCGAGTTGTCGCGCGCCAGCTCCGCGACCAGCTTCTTCGGCTCCTGGAGGTGCAAGTACTTGAGCGGCTCAGGCCAGTTGACGTACCGCGCAAGCTGCGACCCGTCAGCCGACGAGACGAGGTAAGCCGCCACGACGGCGCGATCCTCCTCCCCCGTGCCCGGGTTGCGCACGGGCACGTCCAGGGCCGCGAGTTCGGTGGACCGGTTTTCGGGGACGTCGACCCCGCGGGCCACGACGACGTCGTGCGTGAGCTCCCCCGTCTCGACGTCCCACACGCGCAGGACGCAGTCGACTCCGCTCCGCACCGGCTCGAGCTGCAGGTTGGACGCCCACACCTCGACGCGGGTGGACCGGTCGATGTGCACGCGCGTGTACTTGTCCCGCGGGTGGGCGTGGTGGCGGCGGGTGATGCCGACAGACAGGGGCGCCATCTCGCGCTTGACGGCGTAGTAGGCGTGCTTGGGCCGCAGGTAGTAGTCGCAGACGGCCCACGAGGTGACGGGCCAGCAGTCGTTGAGCTGCCACACGAGGGCGCCGGCGCAGTACTCGCGGCCCGGGCCTTTCCACTGGCGTTTCCACAGGCGGTAGGCCGAGGCCAGGCACTCGGCCTGCATGAGCTGGGTGGTGTAGACGAACTGCTCGAGCGGTTCCGGGCCGTAGCGGAAGTTTTCGACGAGGTAGAGGGCGATGCGGCGTTCGTGGCCGTCGGCCTTGTTGTGGAAATCGACGGTCGACGACTGGGCGTACCGGTCCGGGTCGTCCCGGCCCAGGGGCAGGTAGGCGTCGATGGTCTTGACGGAGGGGAAGGCTTGCATGCCGAACTCGGAGACGAAACGACCCCCTAGCTTGTCGAAGTTTTGGTACTTCTCCTGCGTCCCGTGCCAGACGTTCCATTGGTGGATATCGCCCATGGTTGGGTCGCGGGTATCGGCGCCGCCCCAGGGGCTTCCCGGGTGGTAGGGCACGTCCGGGACCAGGGAGGCGCAGGCGTCGGCGAGGAGCTTCTCGTAGATGTAGCGGGCGGGGAAATCGGTGCGGAGCCAGTTCTCGGGGTTGGTACTGTCGGACGCGTTCCAGGTGAGGTTCTCGCTTTCGGCGTATTGGTAGTCTTCGTTGTTGCCGGCCCAGATGACGAGGGACGGGTGGTGGCGGAGCAGGCGAACGTTGGCATCGGCCTCGCGGCGGATGGAGTCGAGCAGCTCGGGCCAGGCCGGGTAGTTGCCACAGCCGAACATAAAATCCTGCCAGACGAGGATGCCGAGCTCGTCGCAGGCGTCGTAGAAGGCCTCTTCCTCGTAGATACCGCCGCCCCAGACGCGGATCATGAGCTGGTTGCCGTCGGCCAGGAGGCGGACCCAGTCGTGGTAGCGGTCGCGGGAGATGCGGGGGATGAAGTTGTCGGCGGGGATCCAGTCGCTGCCGCCGCAGAAGACGGGGATGTTGTTGATGCGGAAGAAGAAGGAGGTGCCGGGTTGGTCGTCGAGGGGCCGCTGGACGAGTTCGGCCTTGCGGATACCTATCCTCTTGGACGCCGTGTCTATCTCGCTGATGCTGTCGTCCACGAGTATCGCTTTGAGGGAGTAGAGGGGCTGCTTGCCGTAGCGGATGGGGTACCACAGCGCCGGGTTTTCGACATTCAAGGTGGCGGAGACCGAGGCAGCTGTATCGGGGCCGGCACTGGTCACGTTGGCCGCCTCGGCGGCGACCAGGGTGGAGGTGGATCCATCAAGGGACCACAGCTCGAAGAGGACACAGGAAGCCTCGCCCTCGAACTCGGCATGGGCGACAACGGTTGCGGACTTGAGGGAGTCGTCGACGGTGGTGCGAGCATAGAGGTCTACGATACGTGATTCGTATACCTCGAGGTTGATAGGCCTCCAGGGGCCGCAGGTCAACAAGGTTGGACCCCAATCCCAGCCCTAGCCAGAGTGGACGTGACTGTTAGTAAGGACGTTCGTAGTGGTCGTGGGGTCGGCAGGTTGAGGCTTACCCAGTGATACTGGGCTTTCCGCACAGCGAGCCTCGAATTGTCGCCGTTCCAACAGCCCCATTTGTGATTCGGGTATTTTTCGACCAGCTCCCACCCGCGGAGGTAGGCGCTGTCGAATGTGATCTCGAGCACGTTCTGGATCTCGTTCTCGTTCTCGTTCTCGTTCTCGTTCTCGTTGTCGTTGTCGTTGTCGTTGTCGTTGTCGTTGTCGTTGTCGTTGTCGTTCTCGTTCTCGTTCCCGTTCTCGTTCCCGTCCGCTCCTTCTCCCGTGCGAAGAAGAGAGGTGACATCTACGCGCTCTGGCACGAACATGTTCTCGGTCTCGAGGATGGTGGTGCCGTTGAGGACGACAGTGGCGAAGGTGTCGAGGCCGTCAAAGGCCAAGACGGACTTGGTCCCCTCTGACAGATGCAGCAGGGCAGACACGGGGGTAGGAAAAGAGGTCTTGTATATCCAACGAGTTTCGCCAATCCATTGAACGTCGAGCTCGTTTTTGCCGATGAAGGGGTCGGGGATGAGTTTATGGTGGAGGAGGTCTAGGTGGACGTTGGTCGGGAACTGGGCGACGGGGAGGAAGGAGGCGTCTTCCTTGTCTGCCTGTTTGAATAGCCAATTTTGGCTGATGGGGTAAATTAGACGCGGCATTTTGTCGTCTGTCTGATTATCTTTTCTTCTCGTTTCCCTTTTCTTGAGAGGGCAGATCCCAGGATCGCGAGTGCTCCCCCTGACCAGAAGCTCGAGGGAGAAGGAAGAGAACGACGAGAGAAGTGACTAGGAGGGAGGCGAATAAATAATGGAGAATAGCGGTAGAAGGCAATGGCAATGGCAAGGGAAAAGAAATATATATATATATATATTTGTCAGGTAAGATACCCCGGGAACTATCGTGTAGTCGGACAATTGACGAGAAGCAGTCAGTCAGGGTATGGCAGGGTAGGTAATTTGACCGTAGATCCCCGTCTCCGGGGGTGTACGTTGTAAGCTCACCAAGAGCTCAGTGGTTGGGGTTAGAAGATAAAAAATGAGCTAGTTATAGTCGAACACAGTAAAGGCAACATTGTATGAGTCGATTAGATGGGTTGGAAGGTGTGCGTGCCGTCGTGCATGTTCGTGGTTCACGAAAGTGGGAGATGACATGTTTGTTGGTGTTGAGGGGTAGAGTGGGGAGGGGGGAGAGTGGGGGGGGAGTGGACGTATGATGAGGGGCAGATGAGGGGAAGCTGACGTCGATCTCAACCAGGCACGACGTACACTACGACGTACGTGTACGAATGCCCGCGACGTTTTGAGTACCTCACCTTATGAAATGATTCGGTGGTAGAAAACGTACATTCTTTGTACAGAGGTAGGCAGAGGGGCAAGAAGGACTTTGAAGGGACGTGAGGTACACGTGTAAAACATTCAACGGAGAATAAATATCCCGTGACTCGACTCTGCTGCCTACTGCACCTATTCATACTGACACTATCCGTACCAACTCGGCAGTTGCTTCGTCTCTATTTCTCGCATCTTCATGCTTTGCATCTACAGACACACCCTACCAATCTACAACGTACTAACTGTCAAGGGACCAACATGGACTCATGGAGCTATCCGCACCAATCTAAGAACCCACAAACCCTTCACCCACCAAATCAAGCCCACGGACACCCTCCCTCCGAGATGCATCTCGCACGACGCCAGTTCCGCTCCGCGCTCGGAACGACTCTGGACTAGGGAACACCAAGCGCCAAATTCATTTATCGGCGTCTAACAGAATGCATGTGCGTAATTGCTCGCATGATGCAACATAATGAACCAAGACACCAAGGAGCTTCTCCCTCCCGTGGTATGGAAGGGGATTGTCTTTCCGAGGGCAGGGGTAAATGCATGTAGATATGACTGTTCACTTGGAAGGGTAGAGCCAGAAGGATGAATGACGAGTCTCATGGGTTTGTCTGTCCGCTGAGAGGTCTGTAGACATTAAGATTCCATTATAGAGTGACCTGTACCGCTCGCTATCTAAGTGCGTATACTCGCTCTAAATCGCAAAGCATGTAAGTGATGTGGTGATCCATTCCCCTTCCCCTCGGCGACGGAGAAACAGGACAGACAGGGTGAAGGAAGAGGAAAGAGGAGGGGAAGAAAAAAGAAAGAAAAAGAAAGCAAAAAAGGGGTGAAAAATAGAAGAGAAAAAAAAAAAGATATCGTATCGTGGTCTCGCCTTGGAACGCCATGCACCCCCATCCCGTGTCTTTCGTTCCCCTGCACCCTCAGCAGCAATTCCCTCCCCTCCGCCGACTACTCAACGTAAACACCTCCTCCCACTCCCTCAACCCACCCCAATTGCTGTTCCCCGGCCGCCCGCCCCTCGTCCTCCCCCTCCCACCGCCGCCCCCCACGCCGCGCCTCCTCAGTCCGGTCTCGTCCAGAGTCGCCGAAGTCACGGAGCTCTTGATACTCGCCCCATCGCTGGCCCCGGCATTCCACCCGCCGTACCCGCCGTACCCGCCTCCCCCGTCGCCGTACTGAATGCCGCTCATGGGGTCGTCCGGGTCAATGCCGCCCAGCTCGATCTTGGTCAGGATCATGCGCGCCAGCCGCCCGAAGATTTCGTCCACCCCTTCGCCGCTCAGCGCGCTCGCCTCCATCACCACCGGCACGTTCACCGTGCTGGCCCAACGGCTCGCCTCCGCCGCGCTCACTTCCCTGCCTTCCGGCGCTTCCGTCGCTTTGAACCCGCGCCCCAGCGTCCCCATGCCTGATCCCGTGCCCACCGACCCGGGCGTGCCTCCTCCCATCCAGCTGGACCCTACGCTGCTGGGTGTCGCCGACGGCGGGGGGAGGTGTGTGTGCGTGTTATTGTAGGTGTTGATGTTGATGTTGATGTTGTTGTTGTTGGTGGTGTGGTTGTGGTGGTTGTGTTGGTGGTGGTGGTGGTGGTCGTTGTCGACGGGGTGGTCCGACGTCAGGTCTAGCTTGTTGCCCACGAGGATGGTCGAGAGGTTCGGGCTCGCGAGGGCGCGGGCGTCGTTGAGGAAGGGCGCCAGCCCGCGGAATGTGGCGTGCGAGGTAATGTCGTAGACCAGGACGGCGCCCGCCGCGCCGCGGTAGTAAGACCGCGAGACGGATCGGAATCGTTCTGTGCCGGCCGTGTCCCAGAGCTATGTATTTCGGTCGGTCGTCGGTCTCTCGTCAGTGCTCATCTCCCTCTCTGCTGGGCGCAAAAACCGACTCTGGCTCACCTGTAGTTTGATGCGTTTCCGCCGTGCGCCGGTGCCGACCTTGATGATCTTGCTCGCAAACTCGACGCCGATCGTTTGCGATGATAGGATGCGCCATTCGCTTTTGACGAACCGGTGGAGGAGACACGACCTGCGAGGAACCGGGGAGGGGAGACGTCAGCGTCCGTATGTACATGCACTGGACGTGCATAGTCGACCAAGGGGTTGGAGTGCTCACTTTCCCGACCCGCTGGGTCCGAGAAGGATGATCTTGGCCAAGTAGTCGTACATGCTATCCAGCTCCTAGAGATGCCCACACAGTCAGCTCCGTCCATCTCCTCTCATCGTTGACTTCCTTCTGGTTGTTTTCATGCAGATCGGGTTTGGACATTGAGCGGGGGTAAAGTCGCACCTGGTCGCCAGCCAACACGGTGCCGTCGCTCTCTTCGCTGGCAGCGCTGGACTTGCGGGGCCTCGTCATTGCGACCGTGGACTAGATAGAGGCCTGTGCCTAGCGTTAAGGATGGGCTTGATGGGTGACGGTTGTCTGCGCTTCAGAGTACCCGTTGAAACGTCAAAGTGTCGGAGCGTCGGAGCGTCGGAAGTGTCGGAAAAACGTCGAAACTATAGCGATGTGAATCCAGGGCTTTGGTTGAAGTAGCAAGCGAAATATACTCCGTAGGCAGACCAGAGAGATTAGAAAGACCAGAGACAGAGAGCATGAGCTGACGGCGGAGAATGTAGGTCGGTTAGGCGGAGGGATGCGACGTTGAGGTCGCTCCTCGCTCTTGCGAGAGGGAGTCGTGTGACTGCGCGTGGATAATGTGGGTATGACTTGAGCGGCAGTGGTGTTATGTGTGCTTCGTGGTGTTATGTGTGCTTCGTGGTGTTATGTGTGCTTAGTGGTGATGCAGACCAAGTAGGTAATATGGCGTCCTTCCTTGCTTTGCGGATATGGGGGTTCGATGCAGCCCAAGAGTTGCGTTGTTGCTTGGCGGCTTACTAAGAATGCCGTCTGAGGAAAGGGGGCTTTAGTTAGGTAGATAAGAGCAGCACCAATGTTCCATCTCCATGATAATGATGTACTTTTCAGTATCTCAACATGAATGATACTATGGTAGAGTACTTGTTCAATACTTCTTCTTCTCCATGAAGCTACAAGTACCCGAGCAGTTGCGTCACATGCCACATTTTCTGACGGATGGAGCTAAAGGTCGGGGCTCTCACCGTAAGTACTTTGTACCTTGAGCCACCACCACTTCATCTGCCGCACAGCGTTCAATGTTGATCTGGTAGGGTAGCAAGCAACGTTTTGAAGGCGACATCGTTGTAAATCTCACACGAGCTATATTACCGGTGTCATCAAACGGGCTAGAATTGGGTGATTTGCAATCAAACTTGGACTACCTACCTACCCAGAGTGCAGAGAGGCTAGGGACAACCTAAAAAAAAAGAAGAAGAAGCAAAAACATACAACACCGGGTATTCGCTGGTCGTCACCGACCCAACTACTAATCCGGCCCTTATTAGCTTATCTAGGGGAGAGCGGACGGGATCCCGAGTTTTCTAATAGGTATGGTCGTATGTGATAGTTCGGTAATGGGGCCTAACTTATATAGGAGCTCTGTCGTTAGGGTTCGACAATATGTGCCGATGAAGGCGACAGATGAATCAAGTGCGAGGCCGAGAAAAAGGGACAAGTGTTTGACATTGTGTTATACATACGCGGAGAATTTATAAATATAAGAGCTATGACACTCTGTATGGCCCGTTGTTAGCTGGCCGTTTGGCGGGATTACAAGAACCGGAGAGAGATCACATGCTAAGTACCTCATCTCGGTTAGCGGCTCTTGGACGTTGTCTAACGCTGCCCAGGGCGGCTTACGGGCAGCAGGCCACTGAACAAGAGCCTGTACTTGTACTGTACGTCACTCGTCACCGAGGTCGACTGTCAGCGGGTCACCGACGACTCAACAACTACAATAAACCGTCAACGTTGCACATTACATACAATAGAAAGACACATCGCAAAATCAACATTTGTTGTCGCATTCTCTTGCTGCCCTCGCCGTTCCCATTCCTTACACTATGAAAATCAAAGGCAGGACCTTTATCATCTCGGGCGGGTTCGTACCTCTCTCCGTCTCTGTCTCTCCCCTCTCACCACCACTCTCACCTCACCCTGACCCTGACCTTTCTTCTCACCTGGCCACATCTCTTCCCCTCCCATGAAGGTGGACATGCCCAACTAACCCGGCTCACCACGAGAAGAGCATCCGGCCTCGGCCGTGCCTGCGTAGAAGACCTCTGCAAAAACGGAGCCAACGTCGCCGTCCTCGACCTCAACGAGGAAAACGGCCAAGACACCGTCCGCGCCGTCGGGTCCTCCTCCGCCCGCTTCTTCCCCTGCGACGTCACCGACACGGACAGCATCGCCGCCGCAGTAATGGGGGCAGTATCATGGGCGCAGGAAACGGGCAAGCCGCTGGGCGGCGTCATTCCGGTCGCCGGCATCGCTAACCCGACCATGGTACGTTCCCTTTTTTTTTCCCTTTTTTTTTTTTTTTTTGTGCCCGTCCGGCCAGTCCTTTATCCATCCCGATACACATACATCCCCCATAACAATGTTCATTGTTGGTTCCAGCTCCTCGACAGAGACGGCGAACCCACCCCCCTCTCCGCCTTCGACCTCGTCCTCTCCGTCAACCTCCGCGGCACCCTAGACCTCATCCGCCAGTCCCTCCCCCACATGACCTCCTCCCCGTCCACCTCGCGACCGGAAGGCGGGGACGGCGAGCGCGGCGTCGTCATCATGGTCTCCTCGGTCGCCGCGTACGACGGGCAGAGAGGCCAGACGGCGTATGCGGCCAGCAAGGGCGCCGTGGCGTCCATGGCCCTCCCGATGGCCCGCGAGCTGGCGCGGCACGGTGTCCGCGTGGTGGCTATTGCGCCGGGCATCTTCGAGTCGCCCATGTCGAAGCTCATGGCGCCCAAGGTGCGCAAGAGCCTCGAGGGGGCGGTGGAGTTCCCCCGGCGGCTGGGGCGGGCGGGCGAGTTTGCCGACTTGGTGAGGCATGTTATTGAGAACGTCATGCTGAATGGGACGGTTTTGAGGTTGGATGGCGGTATTCGCCTGCCCAGCAAGATGTGAAGCGACGAAAGGTAAGTTTTTGCATTGTGAGTTGCGGTGATCCAACGGACGTGGTATTGTATATAAGATGGCCGCCCTTTGGAAGTCGGATCACAGTTGCCGGTCACAATGCCAACAGAATGGTCAACAAATTCGTGGTAAATGTTTTTATTCTCTTTTCCCACCATCGTCATCTATTGTCGTCAGACCTCATCCTTTCTTGTCTTTTCTTCACTATCATCACCTTGTCAAACACCAACGCCAGCAGGATCCATATTTTTCCAAAAAAAAAAAAAAAAACCCCCCTTGCCTCCCTTAGCACACTCGGCCCTTCCCTAGCCCTATCTTATCATTTCGCTGTCTTATCCAAAGCGTTCGACAACTCATCTTTCTCAAAGGCTCCCATTTCCTTCCCCCTTCCTTCCCCCTTCCTCTCACGACAAAGCCCGTCTACAGCTTCTCAAGCTTCTCATTAGGACCAGCAATGAGGATCTTGATGACCTTGCCCTCCTTGACCTTCTTAAAGGCAGCCTCGGCCTCGTCGAAGCTCACAACTTCGGAAATCAGCTTCTTGACGTTCACCTTGCCCGTCGCGACGAGGTCGATGGCAAGCTTGTAATCACCCGGGCCGTAACGGAAGCTGCCCTTGGCCGTGACCTCCTTGAGGCAGAGCGCCATGATGGGGAAGGTGATGTCGTTCTTGCCCATGCCGCCCTGGACGTAGGTGCCGCCCATGCGCACGACGTGCAGGCTGGTCTGGATGGACGGCTCGGCGCCGCTCGCGTCGATGACGACGTCGGCGCCGTCGGGCAGGCCGATCAGGTCACGGACGGACGCGGCGTTCTCCTCGGCCGAGACGCGGCGGGAGAGGTAGGTGTGGGTGGCGGCCAGCTCGCGGGCCATGTCGAGCTTGGACTGGAGGATGTCGACGGAGGCGACGACGGAGGCGCCGAAGGCCCGCGCGACGGCGGCGCAGAGCAGGCCGACGGGGCCGGCGCCCATGACGACGACGGAGTGGCCGGGGACGACGTTGGCCTGGCGCACGATGTGCACGGCCACGGCGAGGGGCTCGATCAGGGCGCCCTCGCGCAGGGAGACGGCGTCGGGGAGCTTGTAGCAGAAGTCGGCCGGGGCGGACCAGAAGCCCGTCAGCGTGCCGTGGTGCGGCGGGGTGGCGGCGAAGACCATCTCCGGGCACAGGTTGTAGTGGCCGGCCAGGCAGGGGCCGCAGCGGCGGCACGGGTAGCCCGGCTCCAGGGCCACGCGGTCGCCGGCGCGGAGGGTCTTGACGGCGGAGCCGACCTGCACGACGGTGCCGGCCGACTCGTGGCCCAGCACCATGGGGTCCTTGACGACGAAGTGGCCGATGGCGCCGTGGTCGTAGTAGTGCACGTCGGAGCCGCAGATGCCGGTGTAGTTGACGGCCACGAGGACGTCGTGGGGCGAGGCGAGCGAGGGGACGGGGCGTTCTTGGAAGGTGACATGGTGGGGTTTGTTGAGGATGAAGGAGAGGTTGCTTTGGTCCTTGCCGACGGCGGGCTGCTGGGATGGAGAGCCGACGGCCATTGTGAGGTTGTGAAGTAGACTGGAAAGTATTAGGAAGGATCTAGCGAGGGGTGAAATGTCGACTTGACGAAGGTGTCAGAGGAGGTCCAAGAGGATGGTCGGGTCAATTGGTGGGAAGCTCCAGGAAGCTCTAAGAAGATCTTTTGCTATCAGTTCTTCTGTCTCTGATTATCGATGGTGCCGGTTCTGCGATCCGAGATCTGGATTCTGCTTGAAGAGGAGAAGAAAAGGTGAAATATGGGTGGTAGTGGAGGTGATGACGTGGATGAGAAGAGGAAGCAGGGAAGAGAGAGAAGAGGGGAAAGGTATTAGACGATATTGAGGAGGAGGAGGAGAAAAGAGGGGAAGACGGACTAGAGCGTTAAAGATGAGGAGGAGGAGGAGGAGGAGTTAAAGATGGTGATTGAGGAGAAAGGAATTAACCGTCAGATCGATCGTAAATTCTGTCTGTCCTCGTGATCTCGTGTCCCGACCCGTGTCTTCCTTTGCCTTTTCACCCCCACGCCTTTTTTCTCTTTTTCTCTTTTTTCCTTTTCTTTTTTCTTTTCCTTTTCTTCTTGTTTTACCCCGTTCCCTTGACCCCCCTTGACCCCCTTGACCCCTCATGGGCATTTCTCATTCTCATCTACCTTGGGTAGGTGTACGGTGTACGGTGCACGGTACTGGTACAAGGTCTCGTAATGAGCCAAAATCCGAGGTACAGGCGAAACCAGTTGTTGGTCTGACGTAAAGAAGTGGGGTAAAAGGGCCTCGAACCCGGTAGCTACCTCCTCCAGGTAGCTAAGGTCCCCGCTTCTCCCGCCATCTTGGGGATTCCTTCAGCCTAATTGGGGGTGTTTTGGGGTGTTTTTCCAGGGAGCTGGCACGTGGGGGTGCTGGCAACGGGAACACCGGTAGCGTTACACCCTCGCTAAAACTGCCGCATGGTCCTCGCCGTTGCATTTTATCCGTTGATTTACCCGCGCCAATCAGGGAAAAGAAGCACGAGATCAAAAACGTCAAAACTCAACACCAAAAAGTCGAATCCAAATCATCACCACTTTTAAGCAGAGCGTTGTTTCACGTTATTTCACGTTATTTTCTATCTCTTTTCTTCATCTTTTTCCATTTTGTTCCGTATTAAAATTCTATGATCATGATAAAATGCGATGGACATGATCATGTCTTTCTTTGCTATATTAACTATATTAAAAATGAGGTATGAATTCCCCAAGCCGTGAGCCCATGATGTATAATGCATATGACTGGTGGAAGGAAAATCCCCCAAACGTATTCAATCTTCAACATCACATTACTCGCTAGAACATTTCATGTTCTTTTCCCTCTTCTATTCTGCTGGTTCGCCGATGCAGTCCTCCTCTATCGCGGTATCAATCTTTTGTCTATCGTATCTCCCCATCCCACCCCACCCACCCATTACACCACCACCTTCTCGGCCGGATCACCCGTGGTAAACCACTCAAACTTGACCCGCGCCCTGTCGACCCGCCTCTCGGCCAGGAACCTCCCCGCCTCCTCCATAAAGGCCTCGGTTCCGCAGACGTAATACAGCGCGGCGCCGTGGTCGAGGTGCAGCGGCCGGCCAGGCGCCTCCGCCAAGCTAGCGAGATCCATGCGCAGCGCCATAAGCTCGCGTTCCGTCTCCTCCTTGCCCGCCTCCAAGTCGTCCATCTCCGCGACCCTACTCCTGAAGAAATGCGCCGCCGTCTGCGTCCTCTCACGAGCCACCCGCCGGACATGTTCCTGGAAAGGCGCCGTCCCATCCGTCCCATCCGTCCCTCTCCTTCCACCCGGCGACGCCAACCCTGATGACGACGACGGGGACGACGACGACGACGACGGGGCAGACCAGTGCACCCAGCTAATAGGCCGCTCTCGCACCGACGCGCCCCCCGAACTCGGCGTCCCCGCCCTCGACGGCACGGGCGACACGGCCGTCACCGACCCATTGAACATGGCCATGAGCGGCGCGGCCCCAATCCCCGCGGAAAGAAGCACGAGCGGCAACGACCGCCCGGCCTCCAGCGCGTCCTCGTCCACCCAGAAATCGCCCGCGGGGTGCGACAGCTCCACGGCGTCGCCGGGCCACTTCTCGTCCAGGAGCAGGTTGGACACCACGCCGGGGCGGAACTTGCGCACGTCGCCGCCTCTCGCCCCGCTGTTGACGATGCTGCTCGCCCTCGCGCCGCCTTTCCCTCCTGCTCCTCCGGCTGCGGCCGAGCTGCCTCCTCGTGCCGCCGCCGCCGCAGCAGCTAGGCGTCCCATGTCCCGCTTGACGGTGATGCGGTAGTACTCCGGCCGCGGCGCCTCGGAGAGGGCGTACTGCCGCAGCTGTGGTTGGTTGTCGAGTTCGGGCACCTGGACGCGGAGAGAGACGTACTGGCCCGGCCGGAAGAGCGGGAGACGCCGCCCGTCGACGGGGTACAGGTAGAAGGAGACCATGCCGGCGGCCTCGTCGACCCTCTTGTCGACCGTGAAGGGCCGCCACCCGGTCCACGCGGCGGCGTCGGGGTCATGTGCGGTCGATGCATGTGGGGTGGCGGTGTCGGCGGCGAATTGGCGGTACAGCTGGGCCTCGCGGCCGCTGAGCATCCGGGCGAGGACCGAGTAGGCGCGGGACCAGGCGGCGTGGAGGTCCGGGGTCCAGGCCGCCGGGCCGAGGACCTGGGCGAAGGCCTGCAGGAGGTACTTGCCGACGACGTCGTAGTGTTCCGGGTGGATGCCGAGGGAGCAGTGCTTGTTGCAGACGCGCTCGAGGCGCGGGATGAGCTCGCTCGTGTGGTGCAGGTTGGCGGCGAAGGCGAGGATCACCGACGTCAGGGCGCGCGGCTGGCGCCCCGTCGCCTGGTTGGCGGTGTTGAAGAGGACTTTGAGCTCCGGGTGGCCGCGGAGCATGTTGGAGTAGAACAGCGTGGCGATGGTCTCGCCGTGTTCCCGGAGGGCGGGGATCGAGCCCCTTACCAGGACAGATTGTTTGTATGTTAGTGCCATGAGGGCGGATCTTGTTCCCCTGGGGGGGGGGGTTTTGATGCTAGACGGAGAGCAAGATAATTGAACCCAAGAGCAAGATGGCACAAGAAAAGAAATTATTTTTATTATTACAAGAGGTAGGAAAAGCAGAAAGACGGGGAGGGCAACCAGCTGGCGAAGTAGATGGGGATGGGCTAAGATGATATATATAGGACTGGACTGGACTGAATGATTATACTACCTCGCAACTCGAATGGCTACATCGTACGCCTCAACTCTTGGGCCGAACATGACCGAGTTTGCCATGTGTCGTTTTTTTTTATATTCTTTTCATTTCGTTTCCTTTTCCTTTTTTCCCTTTTTTCCCCCTTTCCCCCTTTTTTTTCCTATCTCTTCTTCATCGGCAACATGGCATTGATCCCGACTTATTCCACGCTTTCCACTTTTTCCGGGGTGCCCCTCTCCCAGGAGCCTCTCCAAGCAGAAGCGTCGTCCTCGTGTCAGTGCTCCATGGCCACCCCACGCGAAAATGACAGCAGAGGCAAAAGGTCTTGGCCAGGGGTTAGACAGGAGGGACGGAGACAAATGGAGCGGGGTGGAAGAAGCGACAGGGGCCAAAAGCATGGCGGGACGAGCGGCATTGCATCGTATGATTTCAAGTGGCATCAAACGATGTTGTATCATAAGAAAAAAACATGAAATACAAAGCAAAAGAGAGCTGTGCTGTCTAGTTCGCCGGTATTACGTTGTCTTTGCCGTCCGTGTAATCTCTTACTTACCACCTCCCCGAGTCATTGCCCTAGCGTAGGGGGCCCGAGAAATGATGAATCATATTGGAACACGAGTGGCGGAACATTCCATTGACGGCGTCCGCCTTGGAAGAGACCCTCCGGAGTAGCGTCCTTCTTGGGGTTGGGAAGAAATGAGACAGACGGTGCCTGGGTGCTTGGCGGTCGATGGTTGATGGCCCTGGTGGATACTGCCACGACCATCTGGGCTATCCCAGCTTGAGGCTAGAAGGAAATGGATGAAGTGAAATAAAAGGGAGGAGAATTCTACAGGCGGACCTCGCAGCGGGAGAGGCCGGAGGCCGGTGCGACAATAATGGGACCACCCACGATCACGATGCCTTGTCGTCGAACGATTATAGCCGCACTTTTCTTCTTTCTTTTGTTTTGTGCGTATACACGTGTGCATTCGAGTTTGGGATGATCGACATTTGATCGGAAACATGGTGTTTTGGAACCATACGCTGGTTGTCTTGGACAGTGTTCTTATAGGGAGAGGTGTGGTTGAGACCAGTGCCACACCCTCTGCTATGTTGCTGTTCCTGAAGTATCAGGCACATATGTCAAGGTGTAGTCTTACAACGTACTCTTCATAAAACATGCCATGTTGTTCAAAAAGAAGGTCCCCGCCAGAATCGTATGATGGGTGTTGTTTTGATCGGCGATAGAACTACGGACAATAACCAGCCACGAGGCCCGAGTGCCGAGATCCCGGCCCTGGGCTTGGAAGAACAACAATAAGAAACAACTGACGTCGAGTTGGAATGTGAAGTAGATTTTTAAGTGTATCTGATACTCATCTTAGCGATGGGAGGACGGACGGAGTGCGCCTTCATTGGCAGGGGATGTTCGTTGGCTTTGACTTGTACACCACCAGTCCTGCTTGTCGTGATAGGGGTCGGGTGGATTCAGAGATTCAGACCCGGGACGCAAGAAACGTGTAAGAATCAGAGTACCGATAGGTAGTTACCAGATAGCCACAGACTCAGGAGCTTACATGTATCCAAAGTCTGTACTCCAAGTGCTACTAAAAGAACTAAAGTCATGTCCGTTCCGTGGCGTGGCCGGCGCCAAGTAAAGAGTCTAAGAACACCGAAACAGATCCATGCCACGCCCATGACTTCTGCAGATCCCCTTTTTATACTTGTGCATGTGCATGTGCATTACTGTCCTCTGGTTAGCTCTTCATTGCTCCCACACGTTCGTCACTCGGGAGCCAACTTACAATATCGATCCACCGACCCGCCCACTTGTCAACGGCTTCCTTGGCCTCATCCACAAGGCCGAGCTCCAGGAGAAGCTGCACGGCGCCTCGGAGACCCGTCTCCACCGCCGGGGCGATCCAAGCGTGCGTGACGCCCGTGTGTTCGCCGACGAAGATCATCTGATGAGTGCATGCGTCAGTCTCGGTCGTTCTCCCGACAACATGAAGACAGGGACAAACTCACATTCTTATGCGTCTCAAAGTACGCCGGCATGAAAAGCTGATGCATCCCCACCGACGGACTCGCCCACCCCGACCCCAGAGGATCCGCCGCCCAGCACTTCCGCCTATAGTTCCCCGTATACAGCTCCCTCGTATGCTCGCCGTGGATCTCCACCATCTCGTCCAGCACATACTTCACGTGCTCCTCCTCCGTGCGGCCCAACCACCGGACGCCCCAGTCCCCCGTCACGTAGCTCGCCAACAGAGACGCCGGCCCGGTCCCGTTGATGTCGTAGCTGGGGTAGCACACGGACCCGATCCCAGGCTGGTCGGTACTCGTCCCGCACCCGCCGTAGATGGGGTTCGCATAATCCTCCCAGAACCGCTCCGAGAACTCCAGCGCCACCTTGCACGCCGCCTCGTAAGGGAGCGACGAGATGGCCGCCGCAATGGGACCCTGCAGCGCGGGGAGCCGCCAGGTGCGCACGCTCGAGAACGGCGCCGCCACCACAGCATAGTCGTAGCTCTCGGCATACCACTCGTCGCCCAGGTACGAGTCGCGCCACGCAAGCTCCACCCTCTCCGCCTCCTCGTCGAACCGCACCTCCTCGACCCGGACGCCGAACCGCGTCGCCGACGTGCCCTCCGCCTCGGCCGCCTCCAGCAACGGGCCGAAGGCGTTGGGCAGCCGGTTCAGCCCGCCGTCGATGGTGCGCCACGTGCCGTAGTAAAAGTACATCAGGTTGTACAGGCTCGAGAAGTACGTCGAGCTCCGGAACCCGCCCAGCGCGCTCGTGTCGGCCAGCGACCCGCCGAGGTGGTTGACCATGAAGGCGAACTCGGACCACACGTCGCCCCCCAGCCCGTTCAGCCCCGTGCGGATCCACTCGCTGTGCGCCGCGAAGATGTTGTGCGCCAGCTTCCGCGTGAACTCGAGGCCGGGGAGGTACGAGTTGACCTCGGCGCGGAGCCCCTGCGCCGACGGGGGCAGGACGTTGGGGGGCGGGCCCAGGCTGGCGTTGGCCTGGATCTGCGCCCGCGTGGGCGGGAGGCCGGTGGAGCAGAGCTTAAAGTCGTTGTAGTACATCAGCGCGTTGGGCTGCGACTCGACCCAGGTGATCCAGTCGATGTTAAAGGCCGGGTCGCGGCCGTTGAGGGCGTTGAGCTCGTCGGCCAGCTGGTAGACGATCTGCTGGTCGGTGATGTTGGCGGCCTCGCCCGTCTCCGGGTCGTGGTACACGTGCGGGAAGCGCATCGGGCCCATCTCCTGGTACGAGTAGTCGAAGGGCCCGCCGGAGAGGTACTCGGTGCGCACGCGGCCGCCGAGCCGCTCCGACCCTTCGAGGAGCGTCAGGTTGGTCATGCCCGCCTGCCGGAGCACCAGCCAGCTCATGAGCCCGGACATGCCGGCGCCCACGATGGCGATCTCCTTGGCCTTGGCCTGCGCGACGTGCACCGGCTTGGGCTGCTTGTGCGCCAGGAGCTTGACGCCTTGGAACCACGCGCCGTACGGGTCGATGCCCGTTTCGTTGTTCATCTGGATGCTTTCGGGGCCGTCGTTGTTGTCGTTGTCGTTGTCGTTGTCGCCGGCGTCGCCACCACCACGCCTCCGGAGCCTCCGTTTCCAGCGGTGCTCGAGCAGCTGCGGCTCGCTGCGTCCCACCAGCGTGCCGTCCCTCGACCACGCCGTGAGACAGCCGTTCGAGTCGGCATCCTCGGGGACCAGCCAGACGAGCCGCTGGCCGTCCTCGACCTCGGACTCGACCACGGTGTGGTGGACGTCGCGGAGCTCGTTGGCGGCGCAAGGACCGTAGGCGAAGGAGAGGGGCCCGTCCACCTGGCGTTCGAGCGTGACGTGGACGTTGGCGACGCGGGACCTGGTTTGGGATCGCGTCTCGAGCTTGACGGGCAGATCGGAGGGGGCGGGCGCGGCCGAGACGGCGGCGGCCCCGGCGGCGACGATGGGAAGAAGCCAGCGGGCCATGGCGAAAGAAGGTCGGGAGGCGGTGGTCTGACTTGACTTGCCTCGCGTCCTCTGTCTTCTTGGGTCTGGTGTCTATGGTCTCCCTATATACTTCGTTTACTCCCCTCCAGGCCCCTCTACCCAGGCCCCGACCCGGTAAAGTGGGACAAGAATCAGTCGGGGCCCCCAGTCGCACCTCGACCCGGTGAGAACCGTCCGTACAAGGCACTCGTAAGCGTTCTTTGCATTGTCGATGCAGCAGCCGAGAACATGGGATGTGACCCCGAGGACCAGGCCTAGACATGCGGCCTCCAGTCAGTGAAGAATCGCTGTCAACGGTGATTGGCGATGACCCCTGGTTGATGGGCACGGTCATGTCCATTATCTGCAGGTCAAAGACGGGCCACTTACCAGATGCAGAAGGTGGAAGACGCCCAACAAAGGGTCCCTACACACTTCGTAGTAAGCAGTCGTGGATTTCGGGGGAAGATGGGCTCTACACTCCGTGTCTTCCAATGGGCTATACGGAGCACCTACAACGTATGCAACGTTCTTATCCGTCTGGCTCATACGGACAGTCGGTTGACAAGGGGGTTGTGATCGTATGGACGTCCCATCTGTCAGCTGCCGGCCCAGGTCCACGATCCGCGTTCCGAGGCGGGCGGGACGGCTTGAAAGCTCCCTGGTGGCGCTCTCGGCGGAACCAGCAGTGAGAGCCTAACATGTAGGAGTAGCAGTTTAGCAGCCTAGCATCTCTTCCGGTAGACTAGGAGTATTCATACATGTACTGACGAGCCGTAAACCTCAACTATAAGGAGTAGCAAATACGGCACGCACATCACGCACATCACGCACATCACGCACTGCACGCACAGCACAATGGACTGCCGACACTGAAATTACGTCGGCTGGGTCAAGTTCATCCGTCTAGTGAACACGACCCCCTATCATTGGGTCTCAGCGGGGTATATCTGGGCGTATAGTGGACTCCTATAGGACTATGCATGGGTGCGTAGTGCAGTAATTCCTGTCCCATCTCGGCAGGTCGTTAAGGACCCCGCGGCACTGCCAATCCAGTACGGCTCCGATCGGGTCCCGAGTCTGCAGCCTTGCCGACGATGGGGTTTACTAGAGGGAAGGATGATAATGATAAAAAAGGAAAGGTAAAAAAAAGATGAAAAAAGTAAACAAGACTGTCCTGTAGCAAAGGGACGGGGTTGCCATGTAGTCATAGTAGAGTCGCAGCAATCGTCTTCAATGTTCTCTTCTGGTCCCAATCACCTCTCTGGAATTAGGAGAGATGCACTACTGTCGAGAGAGAGAGAGAAAGAGAGTTCATTGTCTCTTCGTGGCCCAAATAAAGTTGCAGCTGCAGTCAAACTGCAAGACTCGCTGCGTTGAGTGTCGGGCAGAGACGCGCTCGCCGGATCCTGGCCTGGCCTTGATAGGAGCTCAGCTTGTGAGGAAACCGAGGAAACTGCGCAAAAAGAAACCCCGGCCATACAACCAACCTTTCGAGTCAGTTCCGAGTTTCGAAAGCTGATTCCCTGCCGAGCAGGACGGATGTAACATGGCAAAACCCGCTGTTGTCCGTATTCCCACTCTCTAAAAAGCCCTCGCGCCCTTCTTCTTCTTCTTCTTCTTCTTCTCTCTCTGATTCGTGTCGCCGAGTCCAGGTACGCCTCGTAACGCCGTGGTACGATATCCTCACGATAAATCCGATGTGAATAGAGGTAGCAAGACCTCAAAGTCTCCCTCGAGGTGTCTTCGTTGGGGGGTCTCTCCATTGGGGGTCTGAAACTTCACGTCCTCTACTGTCGATGTCGCTCGTCTCCGCCAATCCTCTCGAGAGCCTCCATCATGACGACCGAGTTGCCGCGGATGACCTGTCCATATGTGAGCATGAGCATGTGAGCCTCTGGTGGTCATTCGTTTCTTTTGGACGGAAAACCTGACATACCACCATGCCTATCCGCACCTTCTCTCCACCCTCCTTCTCTTCTACGGCGTCGTCAAGAACAACGTTGAGGAAAACCTATAGTATGTGGCATGTCAGCAAAGCATGCGGGGAAAGGAAAACGTAGGAAACGTCCAGGACCAGGACCACGCACATCATAGCCGCGGAGAATTCCAATGACCTTGCGGCTCCCGTTGAGCTGTACAAACAGCCTCTTGTCGAGATACTAATATCCAGAGTCAGTAATCAGCCCGAGTGCCCCTCCATGGCTGCGTGCAAGAGAGCTGGCGGAGTGTTGACGCCCGAAAGATATCCCAGTTTCCTGTGGAAGATGACTGCATTCGTACCTTCTTAAGTTCTGGCTGAGCGGGCGCCATGTTATCTGGAAATGTCGACGAGGTTATTCCGACAAGCTGGGCGACTTTGAGTGGGAGGACGAATTGGGAGCTTTGGAGCTTCGAGTTTGCGACGCGATGGACGATGGATGCGTATCCGTAAGCCCTTCGATCCTGGTGGAGTCACGTGGTGATAAGAACATAAATCTGCTTATGTAAGGAACCTACGATGTCATCTTGGGAAGCTCAACTTTCCCCAGCTCCATTTTCCGTTTCTGCTCTCCACCTACAGATGCGACAAACGTAATCTTTCCAATATGAGTTCGTTCTCCTCGAGAAGAAAGGCGCGTGTTATAAAAGTCGACGATGACGACGAGACTGGTCTTGGCAACCCTGCCACTGCCGCCGCTGGAGACGAATCGTTGAAGAAGCCAGTTGGTAAGTCCCATCCATTCTCGTGGCTGAGAGCCCTTCGCTAATTCGGACTCGGGAAGGCTAATTCGCTCGGCATAGGCTCCTCAGAACCAACCCCGACGGCAAAATTCACGAAGAAGCCATTCCGACAGTCCGGTCTACGGAAAAGTATCAACATTAGCGAAGATGCAGACGAGACCCCCGGTGATGCCTCCACGAGCAAGGGGACAAGCAACGCCGAGGATGAAGACCACGGCCCTGTGGTTGTACGTCCATCTGTAGGCCGGAAAAAGCGCTCTTCCTCATCCAGGCTAGCCTTTGGCCGAAACCGACACTCCAGCGACGGCGACGGCGACGGCGACGGCGACAGCGCATCCTCTACTGTTGCCCCAAAGAGGACGACGACCCTCAGCCAACAGGCCCTAGAGAACAACGCCGTAAAAAAGGCCCCCCTCTTCACCCAGCGCCTGCCGCTACGACGTTTCGAAAACGACGACGACGACGACGACGGCCGGCCGAGGTACAGCAAAGAATCCTTGGCCGAATTGCAAAACTCGACCCCGCAAAGGCCGCAAGGCGAACCCGTGTCGTTGTCGTCGTTGTCGTTGTCGTTGTCGTCGTCGTCGCAACACGGCCAGACCCAGACCGCCGACGACGAAATGGAACTCGACCCCTCCGAACTCGAAGGCGCCGTCATCGTCCACGAAAGCGAACTCGGCCGCGTCCCCGCCCCCGCCCCGACCGCCGCCAGCAAGACCACCATCCTCACCGACGCCGAGATCCAAGAACGGAAACAGCGCCGCGCCCGCCTCGCGCTGGAGGAGGAACAAGAAGAAGAGCCAGACGACTTCATCTCCCTCGAAGACGAATACCCAGACGACCCCCTCGCCTCCGCACGGAGGAGAAAGAAACAGCAAGCCGACAACAACAACAACAACTCGCGCCTCGTGCCCGAAGACGAAGACCTCGGCGAAGGCTTCGACGACTTCGTCGAGGACGGCGGCCTCTCGCTGGGCAAGAAAGCCGAGCGCGAGGCCCGGGACCGGCGGAGGCGCGAGATGGCCGAGCGCATCCAGGAGGCCGAGGGCAATTCCGAAGAGGACTCGGACGACAGCGAGGCCGAGCGGCGGGCCGCGTTCGAGGCCGCCCAGACCCGCAGTGGCATGGACGGCCTCGCCAAGCCCCGGGTCGGCCTCGCGGCGGGGCCGGGCCGGCCTGACGAGGCGCTCCTCCAGCCTCCGTCCAGGATCACGCCGCTGCCCGAGTTGGAAGGCTGTCTGGACGGTCTAAGGGTGGCGCTGCAGAACAAGGAGGTCGAGTTGAGGGAGAAACGGGCCCGTGTGGCGGAGCTCAAGGACGAGAGGGCCGCCATTCTGCAGAGGGAGGGGGAGGTGCAGAGCTTGCTGGATGAGGCGGGGAGGAAATATCACGCTGCGCTCGGTGGACGGGGTGCTACCGTGACCCTTCCGGGGACTGTGGAGGCGGGGGTGTCTCCGGCCAGACAGATTCAGAGTGTAGGGTTGAGCGAGCTGGCTGTGGAGAGGGGGTTGGAAAGTTTCGGGACGACCCCGAATCGGCGGTCTGACGTAGGCGAGGAGGCGTGATGGATCGTCGGATGTATAATAGTATTCAGCCTCGCGCATGATGTATAAAATGATCTTTATGGTGCCCTCATACATTTGGCGGGGGGAATGAACACATGGATGCTGTTACGCATTGTCTGGCGTCGTTCTTTAACAAAAAAAGAAAGAAAAAAGGGAAAAAAGGAAAAGAAAAAAGGAACTCTCGATTCATGAGACGACGTCCAATATCAACGCCAATGATGAGAAATACAACCCCATATGATATGGTACACAGATGCCCGTTCCCCCCGATTACCTCCTACGCAACTCGACCAGTTCAATGGCTGGCGACCCCCTACGCACGCCCCCCGGACAATCCGCCCGTTCAAGACGATTCCCCTACTTCGACTTGGACACGCCGGCCCCGATGACGCCGGGAAGCTTCTCCTCGCCAAGGTTGAAGAGCATAGTGAGAGAAAGGCTAACGACGCCGAGCATGAGGATAGTGAAGCCGGCGAAGAGCCAAAACGGCGCGCTGAGGTCGACCTTGGCGCAGGTCGCGCCGGCCCAGTGCGTGGTCGACCCGGCATCGGAGACGGTGGACTCGCAGTGGCAGGTGAAGCAGCTGGACGAGCCGGCGTATTTGGGCTGGCAGGCGCCGTGGCCCGAGCAGTTGCCCGTGGCCGACTGGCAGCTGTCCTGGGAGGAGAAGCACGCGGGGATGCCCTTGCCGCTGACGGCCGAGAAGAGAGCGGAGGAAGAACCGGCACCGGCGGCCGCCGAGGTGCCGGTTTCGAGTTGTTCGTCGTCGTCTTCGTCGTCTTCGGCGGCGGACGAGGCCATGACTTCTTCGGCGAGTTGGCGGCGGGCGGAGCTGGGTTTCGAGGTCCAGGCGTTGAGGGAGGAGGTGCGGGACGTCTCGGGGAGGAGGAGGAGGGTTGTTTCCATTTCGCCGACTTCTGCGAGACGTTGGAGACGGGCGATGTTGTCGATGAGGGATGACAGGACGGAAGGGTCCTGCGCGGTTTTTTTATTTGTTAAGGGTCTGTCGCTTCACTTTTTTCTTCTTCTTCAGATTCGTAGGCGGGGACTGCATACCTTCTTCACGTCAAATGAAGCAACGGAAGCCTTCCCATCAAAGCACTCCTCCTCAAGAGGGTTTATTGCCGTCTCCAACTCGCACTCGGACTTGGAAACGCCGGCCAAAAGAAGGTCCTGCTGGATGAAGTCGCGGTTCGCCACGGACGAAGGCGTATCGGAAACGCGGAACGCAGGGAAAAGTCCCGAGAGGGCCTCCTTCAACTTCTGCCCTGCTTCGGCCGTGATGCCCTCCAGCATGATGAGGAGCTGGGAGGGCTCGGAGGCGGCTGCGTCGTCGAAGAGCGGCTGCGGCGCCTTGCCGAACTGGTTGAGGTAGACGACGGCCCTCTCGTCGGAGAGGCCATCGGGGATTTCGTCCAGCGAGCCGACACCACCTTCCGGGGCCAGTCTTTGGAGAAGCACGAGGCGGGCCAGCTGTCTTGGAATGGAGGGGGCTTCGGAGCTCGACGCGGGCTTCGACTGGAGCAGGTAGACGTCGGCCGGTTGAGGTTGGAGGGCTGTTGTCAGGCCTGCCAAGGCTGCCGCAACGCCCAGGGAGACCTTCATGGTGGAATACGGGCTGTTCGAGGCTAGGGCGTCTGGAAAGAAATGGGTACTGATGGATGAGATGATGTGGTTTGATGTTTTTGCAGTCGTGGATTTTGTTGATGCTCCTGTCCACGTTCGTCCTGTCCTGGATTTCCAAGCTGGTGATAGCAGATAGCATTGATGGTACGTACATGGCTGACTGGCACTTGTACGGTCAAGGTACATCCGGCCGTTACGTTATTCCGAGGGCGCACCGTACAGTCGGCGGCCTTATGCCTCACACTGTATCTTATGCGCTGAACCTCCCATTCTGCCGTATCTCGTCATCTCCCCTAACACTGTACACTGATAAGGCGCACCGCGACCCTGCGTAGACTAAAGCGGGCCGTTATGGGGATGTGGAAAAAGCGTGTTCCCTCTAATTATCCGACAGACGGGTGATGGCCACTATTTCGTACTCCGTGCTCCCTACTCCATACACCAAGCCAAGTTACATTATCTTCCCCTCTATGATCGACCATTGTCGCACTGCGCTCGAATACTCTCCTTACTTTCTCGCTTTCGGTTTACATGCTACCACCATAAGACTCTTCGGCGAAGGTTCTACTTTGTCGCTCACCGCTACGCTACCGGCGCTCCCCCTCCCGGGCACTCCGAATACCCACCGTCGTTGTATTACCAAGGCGCCGAAAGAAGTCGCATCGGCCCCGTTGTCCCCATACCACCCCCACCCGCTCCGGGGCATCATGCAGAGGCTATTCAGGCCATCTGCTGCTGGCTTCCGAGCAGCGCGCCTTGCTGCTTGGGCCAGTCCAGGCGGCGGCGGCCAACCAATTGTGGTGCAGAGAGTCAAGCTGACTAGGAGAAGGAACTTGTTCCGGTAGGGCTCCCGGCAAAAATCTTGATCCTCCCCTGTCCCCCCAACCAACACCCCGTTTCTCGCATGCTAACGCCTTGCGAAGGACCCTCTTGATCGGAGGAGGTATCACGTATCTCTGCTGGAACATCTACAGCTCGGCGGTCCTAACCCCTTTGATACGCCATGTCGAGAACCAATACGCTTCATTATCCGCCAAGGAAAGAAGCGCGCTCGAGAAAGAGCTGGACGAGTCGGACCAATCCATCTTCATCGGCTTCCCCTTTACAACGACAAGAGTACCTTCGAAACCGTACAATCCCGACGACCCGGAAGTGGATAGGTTCAGTGAGGTGTACAGAGACCAAAAACTGCAGGCCCGGATACGACGTACGTCGCGCCCCGTCGGAGAGCAAAGCATCCCATACTGTGGTTGAGAAAATGTGCTGACGGGACACACATATTCGCCAGGTGACGCGGCCGAAATCGCCATGAAGCATTTGGAATATTATATTGGACGCCGGCTCGGAAAAATCAAGCGAGTCTCGAAATACTGGATCGATATCGATTTTCCAACTCGGCCAGCACCGACTTTTGAACGCTCGGGGTAAGGGAGAATCCGGAGTGTTCCAATATGTCTGTCATTCTTTTCCGTCGCTAACCCGGGGCGTAGTATCCTGATCGATGACAAGGGGATCTACTGGGCCTCGGAACCCATCGATTCGGGAATGCTGTTTAACCTGTACAAGATCATGTGGCCCGTCGCCGTCGCCAAGTCGACCTGGGCCTTCACGACCGCCATGGCGAAGCAGCACTGGGCGGAGCTCACCAAAGCGCTGGGCTACCACGCCTCGCCGCCGCCCCCCGCGACCTCGCAATCGATGGTGGAGGCACTCGCGCGCTCCAAGGTGCCGACGAGCCGGCGGCAGACGCCGGACGGCGGCAGCAGTCCCGTCGAAACACCACCCCAGAACAGCGCCGGCGGCCCGGCCAACAAGGCAGCCGGGTCGTCGTCGTCGTCGTCGTCGTCGTCGCAACAACAACAACAACAACAACAACAACAGCCCGGCGCTCCCCGCAGCGGGGGAAAGACCAACTTCCTCAAGGACACGATGCTGCCCCACGTCGACGGCATGCGCGAGATGTCGTCGGGTCCTTGGTTGGCGTTCCGCGAGAAGATGTTCAGGACGTGGAGACACGAGAGGGCGTCCCCCCCGCGCGGCAGCTTTCGTGTCGCCGGCACCGTCGAGGTCGAGACCACGAGGGGGTCTGTCACGCTCGATGTCGTGAGTCACTGGGATACCAAGACGCGGAAGTTCGACCCGAGGTCCGTGGGCGTGTACATCAAGAGGTTTCGGATAGGAGATGCTCATTGAGGGGGGTTTGTGTAGAGGGGGGGTTGTCTGGCGTCGTTGCTTTACACTCACGCACTCCGTTGTTGGGGTGTCGGGGAACGGGGTATTGGTCTCGCAGAGGAGGACATCCGAAAAGAAAGGGTAGAGGAGCTACATACGGTAGTAGGGCCGGCAGGAAATACCGCACCAAGCCGTTCGAGGAGATTCTTCAGACTGTCTTCGAGGACGAGTCCCTTTTCGGGGGCCACTACATAGACCCCGGGAGTTATAGGACGAGGGTCGCAGTCACATCCACCTCGGCCGACTACGGGAAGCACACCGGTCGTGCTGGCCAACTACAACCGGCCGGACGAGTCCCCGTGTAAGCTCGTGAGATATTTGGGAACGGGGCTCTTCATGTTTGCTGACCTCCCAAAACAGTTACCGAGTTCCTCCGCCCGGATGTACCCCGCCACGAGCTCAAAGTTTGGGAAGCGTAAGCTAGCTCAGTTCTCCCGGGAGTGATGCGTGGACTCGTTCTCCTCATATATGGCACTAATATTCCATGACACAGCATACGTGCTACCACGGCTGCCCCGGGCTACTTCAAGCCGTTCACCAAGGCTGAGACGGGCCAGCGATTCGTGGACGGAGCCGTGTACCACAACAACCCCGTCTACGTGGCTTTCGAAGAGAGCAAGCTCCTCTGGCCGGATGTGCGAGACCATCTTCCCGACATGATTCTCTCCGTCGGCACAGGACACAACAGGCCCCGGGCGTCGAAGTTAACAAGACAAGACCTTGTGTTAGACCAGTCCCCGAGAATATCGAGGGTCCCGTTTGGAATGCGTGTGACGCTGACGAGGGAGCAGCTTCTGAATTACTCCGAGTGGGCCATGTGCTGGAGGCGGTCTAGAACCAAGCGCTTCTGTGTGGCCGGAACAAGGAACACGCTACAACACGCCCCCGCCGAGCCCGCCGACGTCGCGACCATGGCCAAGACTACCTAGATGTGACTACTGGACCTTCCCAGGGAGGTGGCCTCACAACGCCCTCATGACCCTCCGCTGCGGCTTTTGAGAGCGCTATTTGTCCAAAGCGATCACGGGCATGGGGATCTGCGTCCTTCTCCAGCAGGAGCCGAATAATCCAACTCTTGCCCAAGGAGGCAGTGTGCACAAGCACCATCGACTCGCGCATCATCTCATTTACATTCCCCCACGCTCTCAAGAAGCCTCGTGAACATGGCCTCAGATTCCTCGCCCTCTACAGCCGTGTGCGCTAGTGACCAGATGGTAGAAAGGTCACTACATGCTCTGGTTATGTACGAGGGCCTAACAGGCCATTCAAACCTCATGTCTAATTAGCTTTATAGTAGGAGATATAATAAGCTTTTTGGAGAGCATTGAAGATACACGCTATGACAGATTCATTTGCATTGAAAGGCACATCATAGATAACTCCAACAACCCAAACAACCGCTTGAAGGAAATGAAATAGTGCTTAAAGGTGCGTCCTGCATGAGGTGACGGCACGAAGCCGTTGTCCTACCCCCGTCGTTTAACTTGGCCCCCAATAATAGGTCACTTGCAGCCGGCCTAAGGCATCGATGCATGCATGCATCTTGCTCTTCTCCTCATTCCCAGACGAGCAACGACAGCTGCCTCATCATGTGTCATTCACTCACCACCAGCCGATAGCCTTGACGGCACACTGGGGCGATATATGTCAGCTCGACTACTAAACGACAGTAAAGATGAAGTCCGAAGAAGAGGCATCAGAGAAGGATGATGCTGTTACTCCCCAAGCTCACAGCGACAAATGGGCCGATGCCCTAGAAAAACTCAGCGTCGAAGATCGAAAGCGGTTTGATGTGACGGGCATAGCCGAACGCAGCCCAAAAGATGTCCTGGCTGATGTACTGGAGGCGACAGAGAAGAAGAAGAGAGAATGCATGAGACACCGGTGGAAAATCACTATCAAGGGCCGTACTATTATTCTTCGAGACGTCCTCGAAAAGATCACGGTTTGGGTGAACAAGTTCTCGGTACGTGCAAATACCCGTCCATACTCCGAGTTACGCTATCAAGATGTCAGTTGCGTCTCTGATACAGGCTTCAGGCCATAGGTAAAGCGATTGCGGGAGTTGATCCAGTCACCGCCGGATTGCCATGGGCCGCTGTCTGTTTCATATTACAGACTGGCTTGAACGACGTGGAGATTTTTGGCTTCGTATTGCAATCAGTCGAGGGTATATCCAATCTTCTCGCGAGTACGGCAATATTTGAGGGCCTGTACCTGAATGCTACTCAGCCTAAGTGAGCTAGCAACTCGCACGATAACCTGTTCCACTGCTCACAACCATGCAGGCTTTCCGTTTCAGACAAGCTCTCCGAAAACGTCATTTCTCTGTATGCTACCGTATTACAGTTTCTTTCCGAGTTGCTGCATTACTATTCCCAGCGGACAGCGACCCGCTTCATCAAGAGTGTTGCATTCTCCCAGAGCGACTTCGAAGCCAAGTACGAGCCTGTCAAAGCTGCAAAACAAGACGTATGGGAGCTGGCTACTTTAGCAGAAGCCGAGAAGACATCATGGGCTCTCGAAAGTCTCGACAACATGGAAGAAACGCAGCGCCAGCAGCATCAAACCCTTTCGGAGCTTCTAGCAAATTTGGAGCAACCTATTGACCGCATAAATACCCAGCTAGACTTGATTCAGGACGGACTTGAACGTGAAAGCAGGATCCAGATATTACGATCAATCTCTGCTGTTCCGTACGCAACCCACCACAAAGCTGCCCGAAAAGGGCGCCTGGAAGGCTCCGGCCGGTGGCTACTGAACAACAAGGCTTTCCAAGCCTGGCGCAGTGACAGCACTTCGTCAGTACTATGGCTCCACGGCATCCCCGGGTCCGGGAAGACGAAGCTCGCGTCTCTCGTAGTGGACGAGCTCCCAGGGTCTGAGAACATGGCCTACTTCTACTGTATGCGCAACCCGGCAGAGCCGCTGCGTGGTCAATGCAATGCCGTCCTTGCCAGCCTGGTACGGCAGCTGGCAAGTACTTCGGCCGACTCACCCCTACTTTCGGCTGTGGTAAACCATTACCGAGATGCCCTTGACGGCATGGCAGGTTTCGATGACTTTGCATGGACGAGCGATGAGTCGTCTGCAATTCTCCTGGAACTTCTGGAAGACTACCCAGCCGTAACATTGGTGTTTGATGCGATGGATGAAGTCAACCCGGAAGACCGCCAAGAGCTCATGGACATTCTTAGCGAGCTGCTACGTGAAGCCCCAAATCTTCTCAAAATATTCGTTTCCAGCAGAGAGAACTACGACATTGCATTGCACTTTGAAGGGTCCCCAAACATCTACATAGATGCCCAGGACAACAGAGGGGACATTGAGTCTTTCATGTAAGTGTAACGGCTTATGACCCTCCCCTTGTCTGACTCTCACAGTAAACACTTGACATGACTGACGCCCTCTAGTGATGATCGGCTCACGGCAGCCAAGCTGCTTCGTGGCCGGTTACCTGACACTCTCCGACTTAAGATTGCGGATACGCTGCTCGAGAAAGCACATGGCATGCAAGTAGAGTGGACTCCTCCCCTGTGTTTCTGCGATGAGCGTTAATAACTTGTTTCTGTGTACATGTAGGTTCCGTTGGGTAGACTTGCAGATCCAGTCCCTCCGTCCGCTCAAAGTAGCAGCGGACATCGAAGCACGACTAGGCGTTCTGCCAGCAACCCTCGAGGAGTCGTACTGGGACATCTATCAGGATATTCTCAGCTCCGGCGAGCACGCGACAGACCTGGCTATTTTCACCTTTCAGTGGGTCATGTACGCTAAAGGCTCGATTGAAGCCCGGCACTTTGCGAACTTTGCGTCCTGTGCCCTCTCGTCCGATGACCTTGCGCAGACGTTTACCGAGACGGAGATCATCGACGTATGCGCCAATCTCGTCGTCAACCGCAGTGGCGTCCTGGAATTTGCACACTTGTCGGTGCGCGAATTCCTCGAAAACCTTCCGAAGCGCTCCGTCGAACTGGTGGTGAAGGCAACAAGTCATGGCCGCATCGCAGCGGCTTGTATCAAATACATTGCCGTGGAGCAGTCGAAAGACCCGAATGGAGATTTGGACGACAGAGCCGATGAACCGACGGACACGGCCGAAGAAGCAACGGACGCAGAAAAAGAACCCAAGGCTGCAGCAGAAAAACCAACGATAACAGTAGAAGAGCCGGAAGAAACGGTTGAAGGATCGAAAGAATCGGCCGAAGAGTTGCAAAACGCAACCGAAGACGACGACAACAACGTACCCGAAACACCCAAAGACGCACCCGAAGATGGCCAGGAACCAGAGGATGGCCTCAAGGAAAATGGAGGACCCAAGGCCGATGAAGAGGCGACAATAACCATCACTATGCCTGACAAAACCATGCTAGAGTATGCGTCTCGCTACTGGCCTGATCACGCATCTGAAAGCGGTAGCTGCCGAATGGAGAAACCTCTCCAGGATCTCATTCGAGGCCTCATGATGAACGACGAGACCAAGACCGTCGCCAACTGCTTCAAGTTCTGGGCTCGGACAATGCGAAAAAATACCACGTTTCCTCTCCGCCATTGGGAAGATGACCAGCTCAAGGATGCTTGCGAAGCTCCAGCCAACCCAATCTGGCTGGCTTGCTTCCACGGTTGGCTCGACGTCATTGAATATCTATACGGCATCAATTATGAGGACATCGGCGATGCTAGGAGCCTGGCCTCCTATCGCGGGCGAGGTGTCTCTCGGAGCGTTTCTGAGGACGAGAAGGTCATGTCGCCACTTTTGTATGCCGTGGCGACAGGCAACTTTCCCCTGGCAGAGTGCCTCGTGAACTTGGCTTCTGATGTGCTGCAGACGAAGGCTCAGACGCACTCTCATCCCCTTGTGCGCGCAGCGGAAGACGGCGAAGAAAAATTATTCGGTTTGCTCCTTCATAAGGAGCACGGCGGTCTGGACATGGAAACAGAAGCCCTCACGGGCGCTGCAAAGACGGGGAAAATCGAGATCTTTCGCATCTGTCTTGATTACAACCCAGAACTTGTCCCGCTGAGCGGACGGCTCATATTCTTCACAGCCTGCAAGAACGGCCATCTCGAAATTGTCGTGTTCCTTCTTGAGCGGGGGGTGAACGCGGATGAGGGAGCGTGCCTAACCGTTGCTGCTTTGCATGGGCACAGCGCCATCGTTAAAGAATTGCTACGAAGAAAAGTCGGAGAAATGGGCAAGTCAAAAGCACTGATAGCTGCCATCTCCAATGGAGATGAACCGTCCATCAACGCCCTGCGAGACTCGGGCGCGGAAAAGGAGCCGGCGGCAGTACTTCGAGCCACCAGAGAAGACACGCCACTGACCGCACTGCGACTCATCGAATATGGGTTCCAGGTCAGAGGACGATGGGCAAAGACAGGTCGAGCGCCCCTTCACTACGCCTCTCTCTACGGACGCGACAAGGTGGTCGCAGCTATCTTGCATGCTGGCGCCCCAGTCGAGGTGTACGACAGTCAAGGACAGACACCCTTGCACCTCGCCGCCAGAAGAGGGAACACTGAGTGCGCCCGTGTGCTTCTCGATCACGGGGCAGACGTCCTGGCGACGGATGATCAAGGGCAGATTCCGTTGGACCTGGCAGAAGATAGTAATCCCGCGAGTTGCGAGATCCTGATTCGAGAGAGGATGGAGCAGCTTCTCGAGACTTTGACGAAAGCGAAGAACACGCGGGAAACTACTGTCCTAGGCACTACCGACGCGGCTCCTGAAGATGCAAGCCTCGCTCAAATAGGGCAGAGATGACAGAATATTTCAGGGGGTTGTTGGAGTTATCTATTCATATTGATTGAAACGACTCGGAGTTTATCGGCCTTCCTCTTTGACGCCACGTAGTGGTTAACGTCCCTCACCCACTTCTGGGACACCCCCCTATATAGGACACCCTAAAATCCACACCACTACTTCAACCTACCTATCTTTAAACTATAATAACTTTACTAATTTTTATCTGATTCTTACCAGGTTTTCAGAATACTTACTTGTATTAATTATAACTAACTATACCGAAGCTCCCGGACTTCCGACTAGCACGATAACTGGAATCGGCGGCGTAGCAGAGCCCCCGTAGCGCTAGAACCTCGGGTATATACACGGGGACGCAAAGACGGCTATAAAGGGAATAGGTAGACGGAGAGTAAGGTAAGATATTTATTAATAGCCGCTATACGGCCGCGCTACGGGCGCGCTAAGACCCTACTTACTCCTTATCGTCTATATATTCGTCGGACTCATCGTTATCGTCGGAGCTAATTACTCTATTATCTATTAGGATAACCTTATCCTTACCTTTACCCTTATCCTCGGTGGCCGAGGCCGTGGGGTCTCCCGATAAAGGGACGGGGATACCCTATAATACGCGTTAGTAGCGGGGTTAGCGCGGGGGAGGCGCGGGGAAACTTATAAGGTAGGCGAGGATAAGTTCTAATATCTCGCTATTACGAGCGTAGCTACTACTATAACTCTACGGGGGCGCGGCGGCGGGGGCGGCGATTATACTAATACTATTAGCCCGGCGAAGGGCGGCGCGGTACGCCCGGAGAGCGCGGGTCTAATAAATAGCCGCCTGCTTATACTTACGGATATTCTGCGATAGGGTAAGTAATAAGGACGTAGCGTACACAGTATAACGGAGAAGGGGAGAACCTATAAAGGGCGTCGGGGCGGCGCGGGCGGCGGCGGCGGCGGCGATAAGGGCGGTAGCGGCGTTATTATAGGAGGGGGGGACTTAATAGGAGGATTAACGGAGTAAGGGCGTAATAGGGGCGTAGCGGGGATAACCCAGGGCGTAATAGCTATTACTACGATTACTATTAATATATTTAATATAATAGGCGCCGGTACTTAAATCGGGTTAGTAGATACGGCACGGAGTAAGGGCGTAGCGAGGGAGTAGCGGGAATATAACGCGATAAGACTATATACTAAGAGGGTTCTAGTATAAAGCGGCCTAATAATCTTATACTAATAATATAACGTATAAGGTATAGGGAGACGAGCGGACAGTAAGGGTAATAGCGGACTATACCGGGTTAGAATATAAAGCGGGGGCATAAAACGGGCGTAACGATAATAGAGCGGGGAATTTATAGTAGAAGGCTAGGGGGCAGCTAGCCTTTTACCCTTATAGGCGCCGGCACCGGCTCCCCTTTTAGTGATAGAGGTCTTATTACTAGGTATCTAAAGGGGTAGGAAAGTTAGACTAAGGCGGGCGTTATAGGAGCGGAGCGGGGGCGGCGCGAGGATAGCGCGAGGATAGCGCGACCCGGGACCTCGTTAGATCCCCTACTATATAGCCGAACGGTACCGGGGATCCTATATAGAAGTTCTAGGGCTATACCTATATCGCACCGACCACGTAAAACTTACCTTAAGAATAATAGCTTAAAGGAGGAAAAAAGAAAAGGAGGAAAAGAGAGGAAAAGAGAGAGGGTTATAAGAAAACGGAGCGGTAGATTAGCCCTATAAGTTACCACGCCTTTTAGGAATAGTAGCCACGCCCGGCCTATACTATAGCGCCTTCCCCGGAGAGTATACGTAGCGCGAATAAAGGAGGTATATAACTAAATAAGGGCTACTATAAATAATAGGTATATAAAGGAGGTTTTAGAATAAATAATAAATAAAGGAAGGAGTAAAGGGGGGGTAGGCGCGCCCCCCCCCTATAAAAGGGAGGGAGGGTATAAAGGGTGCCACGGCGAGGGGAGAATAACCTCGCCGGATCCGGAATAAAGGAAAGGATAGCGGCGAGAGACCGTGGCGATAGCGCACTAAGGGCGCGTGCGACTAATACGGCACCTACTAAACTAACTAGCCGACCCCCGTTAGCTACTAGCCTAGAGGTAAAATCCGGTTTTCGAATAGCGATAAAAATAGGGCCGCGGAGCGATACTATAGCGGCTACGCACGATAGACCTGCTTATATAATAAGAGCGTAGGGGTTTTTATCTATTAACGGTTTCCTCTCGAAAATTAGAGAAGGACTATTACCTAGGTGGCTAGCCTAGCTTAGCTAAGCGAGAGCAGCGTAATAAATAATAATAATAATAATAACTATACCGAAGACAAGGTTAACCAGGCCTTTTTTTTTTTTCTTTGTTTTTAATTCATTTCGCGTATATAGCCCTAAAGCTATAGCGCGGCGCCTTTTAACCTATAGGCTCGAGGCTAGAATAAACTATAGTAAGGAGTGGAGTAGTAATAAATAAAGGAAATCCTCCGTAATAGTCTGCCTAATATACCGAAAAACAGGTAAAAAACCAAAACAGAAAACTGGACCGTAGGATCCGAGGTTTACGCTCTATACTACTCCACCGAGGCTATTTTAGTAGCTAAAAGATAGGCCTCTAAGGCCTGTATACCTCTTTTAGTACCGAATAATAGCGGTAGGGATAGCGGTAGGCCTGCTAGGGCTTCCCGTAGGGCTTTTCGTTCGTTTTTATAAAAAGGGTAAGAAAGGATAAGGTGGGCTGTATCCTATATAGGGGGGCCGGGACAGGAATAGTAGTCGGTAGCGCTATTTCGGGCCCTCTTTTAGTGGGATTTTAGGTATCCGAAGCCGGTTTTTAACTAAGTAAAAGCCGACTTTACCCACCTAGGGCCCTATATCGGCAGTAATAGTGGTTTTCGGGAAAAGCGGAGGTTATCTCGGACTAGGCGCCTATAAAGGCGGCCTAAACGCACCGATTTACCCCTTTTCTCCGCCTTTTCCTCTTCGTTCTATAAAGCCTTCTAGTCTCGAACTAGGGCCTTGTTAACCCGACGCTTTAAGTGATTAAGGGTAACTAAGCTAATAGATTTAGTAGCTTTTTTAGGGTCTAACGCCTGTTTAGCTGCCTTATCCGCTAGTTCGTTTCCTTCTATCCCTATATGCGAAGGGCACTACTATATACAGATAGAAGTGCCCTGTTATTTCAGCTGTAGGATAAGGGTCTTAGCCTCTATAGCCCACTAAGAGGAGCGCTAAAGCTTCTGAATAGCCGCCTATGAATTGCTAAAAATATAGCACTTTAGGGGCCTAGGCAACTACTTTAGGGTAATCTAAAGGGCCTAAAGAATAGCGTATAATTCAGCGTCGGCGACCTCGGCAGAGTTCCCTAGGTTATAGCCTACAGCTTTAAAGGGTCTACCGGTATTAGCTAACCATATTATAGTAGCTATAGCCTGCGTAGGCCCTATAGGAGGCCTTATAGGGTGGCCTAGGGAGCCGTCGATATAGAAAATAGAGGCCTACTCGCCTAAGAATTATTATATATCCTTAAGGGCTTCGAGGTGGGCTGTTTTTGGGTCTTAGGTGCCGGGTTCGGTGTTTTTCGCGGTTATAGGCTATTATTTTAAGGGAAAAAAGGGTCTAAGGTCTGCTATAGGTTCGGAGGCCTAGGAGGCCTCCCACCTAGCTATAGGGCCCTCTATTTCCTAGGACTGCCCTACTAAAGCAGCTAATTCTAGGCCTAGCCTATAGAGCTATATAGTGGGCTATAGGTCTTATAGGCGGGCGAGGTCTTCCCCTAGCTCCCCTAGAAGCTGGCGTCTTATAGGGTGGTTCGGTAAGAACTTTAAAGACCTAAAGGCATAAAGTCTATTAGATCTAGTTAACCGAATCGACGCTAGGGGCACTGCTGCTTCTAGTTCTAGAGGCCGTAAAGGGGCCCCCCTAAAAGCCCCTAGAGCCCTGACTAGAGCGTCGTACTATAGGCGTTCTAGGCGGTCGACTAGGTGCTTTTTAGGTAATTTAGGGTCCTACTATAGCTGTGAGCTAAAGGTAGCTAGCGAGGCTATATAGGCTATATATAGCTGCCGTAGGGCCTTAAAAGAAAGGCCCCTCTACGAGCTAGCTAGCCTATAGAGTCTACTTAAGGCCCCTATAGCTGAATTTAGGCGTTTTTCGATATAGGGTTTAAAAGATAGCTTAGGGTTAAACTAGACCCCTAGCCACCTAATAGCAACTAGTATAGGTTTAACTAGGTGCCCCCCTATAATAACCGGGGCGTCTTCGATAGAGCGTCTTCGGTGGAAGTAAATAAGCTCTGTCTTATCCGGGTCGAAAAGAATATAGTTATTATTAGCTGCTTCGAAAAGGTAGGCTGCGGCTTGTTCTAGAATCTTATAGTTTTTCCTAGCCGACGTAGACGCTATAGATAGCTGAAAATCGTCTATATAGGATAACTAAAGACCTTTAAAATCCGGCCCCGCTATAACCTTCCTAATATAAATTAGGAATAGAATAGGGGAAACCGGGGAGCCTTATAGGACCCCTATATTTAGGGGGGTAGGCTGCTAAACCTAACCCTTAAAGGCTAGTTGGATACGCCTGTTTTCTGTGAAGGAGGCTACCTATTTAACTAGATTCGAGGGTAGTTAGAGCTCTTAAAGGGTTCTTAGTAGCTAAGGGCGGGCGATATAGTTAAAGGCTCCTTTAATGTCTAAAAATAGCATAGAAATACGGTGTTTTGCCGTGATTTACGCTATTTTTCGATATAGTGAAGGAGAAGAAGGGCCGTATCGATAGCGGATCGTTATTTTCTACCCCCTATCTGACTAGGGTGTAGAAGGTCGTCGCGGGTATTAGCTAAAAATCTTAGTCTAGTAGCTATAACCCTCTCGAGGACTTTACCTAAGTAGTTTAGAAGGGCTATAATCCTATAAGACTTAGGATTAGAATAGTCCTTCTTCCCCGGCTTTAGTAGAACAACCCCTAAGGCCTCTTTCTAGCAGGTAGGGTAGTAGCCTGCGAAAAATAAAGCTAAGTAGGCCTTTAAGAAGGGCCCGGGAATAGCCTTATAGGCCTATTAGATCGGCTATAAGCTTATCCTATTAGGCCCTAGGGCTTTCCCCTTAGCAGCTCTAAAGATAGCGCGTTATAGTTCGGTAGTCTATAGGCTAGGCTACTCCCACGGTCTTCTAAGGCCCTTACTACGTGATCTAGTTAGGCTTTAGGGGCCGTTAGAAGGGTTAGAGGGGCTTAGGTCTCTTAAAGGGCCTATAAATACAGGGGCTTTAGGGGCGTTAGTGGCGGAAAGAAGAGGAAGAGGAAAAAGGGTCTGAATAAGGACGTCATATTTTTTATCGAAGGCGTAGGCTTTCTGCTTTATAGGCGTTTGAATCGGTGGAATTTTAGTATTTAGGCCGCTTTTTATATAGTTA